TTGTTGTAGTAGTAGTTTCTGTTCCAGTGCATGGCATATTTCCTGTCCTTTTTATGAAGAAGCACCTTTCATGATTACACCTCCGCTAAACTTTTTATTCTGAGACGGCAAGATAGAAAACAGGACTAATAATCAAGCGTCAAGAATCGGGTATGTTGGAGATTGCGTGTTGCGATTTTCATCTCCGTGTCTTCTCACTACAATGGGTTTTTGGAAGATTTATTTACAATGGGTTTAAAATACTCACGAACCTTCACAACACGAACCTTCGCATTTCGCTTCTATTCTCGTCAAAACCCTCGGTGTTGCGTGTCTACCGCTCTTTGCCGGCGATAAAAGGTAGCAGCACTGTATAAAATGAGCAGCAACACAACACCATTGCAGACATTTTTTCAAGTTGATACCCTTTTAAATTTATAAGGAATCCTTATCACTTTTTCTCAGAAATTTTGGCTCATCACAAAGTCACGCCAAACGAAAACACTTCCAAAGACGCTCTGTGATTGGTCAGTATCACAAATTCAGTGACTGTCTTCTTTCAACCTTTCAGTCATTTTGCGAAACAAATATGATTTGAATAACGTCAAGCTGAACTGATCACAATTCCTAGAAACCCTACATGTTAAACACGTCTATAAACAATTTCTGTGATTGGTTTATATAATTAGACGCTGATCACAAGACTTCATGATTGGACGCTCTTCTAACTTAACTTCAAACCATCCTTGTTTTCCGCTTTCAAACATGGATGTAAAAACCTTGCTAAACAATCTTCATGAAGAAGTATCCTGTTCTGTGTGCATGATCACATTCACAGATCCAAAACAGCTGCCATGTTTACACAGTTTCTGTCTTCACTGCTTGAACGGGATTCATCGAACGAGTGGCCGCCATGATATCATAACCTGCCCAGAATGTAGAAGAGAGAGTAGAGTCCCTAGCAGTGGAAACCTGAAGGACTTGCCGACCAATTTTCGAATCAACAGTTTGCTAGATGTGTTGGCCATCAAAGATTGCAACACTACAGGTGTCAAATGTGGAAGCTGTGACAAGAAAGGCGCTCACAGTTTGTACTGCTTCCAGTGTTGTGCATTCTGGTGTGACGACTGCATTACCGCGCACAACATAATCCGAGCTAACAAAGAACACCGTGTGTTGGCGATTAAAGACTTCCAAGATCAAGACATCGAGGACGTGTTACAGCGACCAGCATTTTGTGGAAATCCAGGACACGAAAAGAAAGAACTGGAATTCTTTTGTAGGAACTGTGAAGAACCAATTTGCAACTCTTGTGCTGCAACCATTCACGACGGCCACGTCAAAATACTCTTGGAAGAAGTGGCAAATGAAAGAAAAGCCGAAGCGAAGACTGTGATTGAATCTCAAAAGGAGAAGGCCCAACAGATTAGAAATAAAATCTTTCAGGTTGACCAAAACTGTGCAAAAGTTCAAGAAGAAATCGCCAATGTGAAAAGAAGCGCGCAGCAGTTTGCTGATAACATGATGGCCGTTATCGAGGCAAAGAAGCAGGAGATCTTCAATTCAGCTGAAAATCCAGGAAAGCAATCACTCGAGCAACTGGGAATACAAAAGAGTGAGTTTGAAAAACAAGCTCAAAAAACTGAGACAGCAGTTGAAAAAGCTGAAGCACTTCTGAAGCGAAGCACAAGCGCTGAGATAGCACAGTTAGACAAGTCATTGAAAACAATCTTTCCGGAAGAAGTCAAACATGAAGGAGAACACGTCGACTGTGACCTTGAAGGACTTCGACGATTTATTTTCGAGAAAAACGAAAAATTGCTAGAGAAAGCAACCGCTGAAGGAATCGGATCTTTAAAAACCTTCTTGAGCAAGACTGAAGCGCAGCAATCAAATGCCGAAGGAAATGGAATCAGTGAAGTTATCGTTGGACTTGCAGCACAGTTTGTTTTGACGACTAAAAACGATGAAGGAGAACAATGCTATGAAGCGCATGACTGTGTAACAGTGAAAATGAGAAATCGTCAAGGACAGGACTGCGCGACAGAAGTCCGAGTCGAAGATAACCAAGACGGCAGCTACAAGATTAGCTACTTCGCCAAAGAAACTGGAAGATGCCATTTATCAGTAAAAGTAAACGAGGAACACGTCCATGGCAGCCCATTTGCGGTTCAACTCAAAGCCAGAAAGTTCAGACCCGTTGTATCGTTTGGACAATTAGGCTCGGGCGCTGGAATGCTAATTTTCCCTTGGGGAGTTGCAGTGAATAAACGTGATGAAATTGCAGTGACTGATGCTGGTAACAACAGAATTCAAGTATTCAGTAGTGATGGAACTTACTTGAGATCGTTTGGTACAAAAGGTGATAAACAGGGAGAATTGAACTATCCTCTCGGGATAGCTTTTGATCTAACGAACGGGAATATTTTAGTGGCGGACCGTGAAAACCACCGTGTTCAATTGTTCAGTGAGCAGGGTGAGTACCTGAACCAGTTTGGTGGGAAAGGAAATCTTGATCACCAGCTTTTGTTTCCCGTTGGTTTATCAGTAGACAGTCACCGTAATGTTACTGTCGCTGATTCAGGAAACAAAGTAATTAAGATATTTTCTCACAATGGCCACTTTCTACGTAAAATTGGCGAAGAGGGCTCTTTTAACCAACTCTGGCATTGTGTCCAATATGGCAATTATCTTATAGTATCAGATAGTGGTGAAAATTGCATAAAAGTATTTAATAAGGATGGAAATATTTTGTACAAATTTGGAAAAAAGGGGTCAGGGGACGGGGAGTTCGATAATCCTTTTGGCTTGTCAGTTAACAAAGCAGGACACCTGATGGTCTGTGATAGAGGGAATCACAGAGTTCAGGTGTTCGAACTGAGTGGAAAGTTTGTGGCAAAGTTTGGAAAAAAAGGCAGCGGGATAGGAGAGTTTAAGAATGGACTATTTTCTACAGCAGTTCTTAGTGATGGTAGGATAGTTGCATCTGACTGGGGGAACCATCGCATTCAGATCTTCGAGTAGATCGACATGATGTCCAGTCAGCTCTCAGAATATGCGAGGTAATTTTTAAATTAGAAATTTCTGACCATTCCTTAGTCGAGAGTAGTGTGATATGGGTTAAATCGCTCTAGCACGACAGATAGTCTTGGATTATCTCTTAATTTTACGTTTGAACTATTGACTCTTTTATGTATGATTGCAGTTTTTGGTTTTTACCAAGTGTACCTGCATGTTATAGCAAGTCACGGCTCAGGTCGATTCTCTGGCTCAACAATTTTAGAGATTTTAAATTTTTTATCGAAATGAATTTGCATATTAAGAGGTTTGTGATTCTTTGATGTGTAAGCTTTTAAAGCTGCTTTGGTATAAAAAGAAATCCCTATTTCGGGGAGGTAAGGTGTTTGCTGAATCGAACAATCGAAGAATAGGACAATGAACGTTGGTCTGATTTCAAGAATGGAAAAATTGGAGAATGGAAGAAATTGAGAAACCAAAAACTTCTCCCCTTCATAGATACTAAGATAATTTATAATTACCTGTAAAAAGTTGGACTAATTTTGTGCTTATTATTTTTGCATGTAAGAAACAGCAGATCCAGCCAAATAATTTTTAATTTAAATCTAACTCATGTAGTTTAAACTACTTAAAAGAAATGTAACCCAAGCATTTAAGTCTCAAGTGATTGTCACCATCTAAAGGTCTCGATGGAATCGGAGATGATGTAATCTCAGTTTATCAGTTAAATTTTCGGCCATTTCTCAGCAAACATTTCAAATTTCTCCCTATTAATGAGCTATCATTAAATTTTGCAGACCTCGAAACTCAGCTATCTCTAAAGAAACACGTCATTTTCCCTAACTGAGAGTTAAAATGTCTGACATTTTGACCAATTCCCAGTTATATGAGTTACTGGCCCCTCCAGACCCTCAGTTTCAATCACTTAATTATGTCATAAGTACTTTCATATTTGTGTTAAGTTCCTAAGCAAGCTTTATATCGTTGAAATTTTGTAAATAAACAGTGTTACATTAGCAATGTTGCCGCAACAACATAGTTACCAATAAATTATATCATACAAGCTTGTAGAGACTGAACTGAGTGTGAATATTTCTTGTAATATTTTTCCCAAACTTTTCGACTTGATACTGTGTGCTCGCTGAGAATGTAGGCCATTTTAGCGTTGCCTTTTGCCTCTGTTCTGGCATGCGATCAATTTGAAACAATCAATACGTGACCGAACGAAGCGTTGTGCCATCGATCTTTCGTCACGAATATAATTTCGAAAGGGTCTTCGTTTTCGAGGTCTTCCTTTTCCAGAGATCTTCGTTTTCCAGGGGTCTTCGTTTTCTAGGTGGTCTTTATTTTCTAGGGGGTCTTCGTTTTGGAAGGGTCTTTCGCCTTCGGTCTTCGTTTTCTGGGCACCCGATGCGCCCAACAATGACGCGATATGCTGCATTGAAATGTTGCGATCGTTTGGCCGGGGCTATAAGCTACTCACCCGACACAGTTTAGGTGTATTGAGCATCGCATTTGTTGTAGTAGTAGTTTCTGTTCCAGTGCATGGCATATTTCCTGTCCTTTTTATGAAGAAGCACCTTTCATGATTACACCTCCGCTAAACTTTTTATTCTGAGACGGCAAGATAGAAAACAGGACTAATAATCAAGCGTCAAGAATCGGGTATGTTGGAGATTGCGTGTTGCGATTTTCATCTCCGTGTCTTCTCACTACAATGGGTTTTTGGAAGATTTATTTACAATGGGTTTAAAATACTCACGAACCTTCACAACACGAACCTTCGCATTTCGCTTCTATTCTCGTCAAAACCCTCGGTGTTGCGTGTCTACCGCTCTTTGCCGGCGATAAAAGGTAGCAGCACTGTATAAAATGAGCAGCAACACAACACCATTGCAGACATTTTTTCAAGTTGATACCCTTTTAAATTTATAAGGAATCCTTATCACTTTTTCTCAGAAATTTTGGCTCATCACAAAGTCACGCCAAACGAAAACACTTCCAAAGACGCTCTGTGATTGGTCAGTATCACAAATTCAGTGACTGTCTTCTTTCAACCTTTCAGTCATTTTGCGAAACAAATATGATTTGAATAACGTCAAGCTGAACTGATCACAATTCCTAGAAACCCTACATGTTAAACACGTCTATAAACAATTTCTGTGATTGGTTTATATAATTAGACGCTGATCACAAGACTTCATGATTGGACGCTCTTCTAACTTAACTTCAAACCATCCTTGTTTTCCGCTTTCAAACATGGATGTAAAAACCTTGCTAAACAATCTTCATGAAGAAGTATCCTGTTCTGTGTGCATGATCACATTCACAGATCCAAAACAGCTGCCATGTTTACACAGTTTCTGTCTTCACTGCTTGAACGGGATTCATCGAACGAGTGGCCGCCATGATATCATAACCTGCCCAGAATGTAGAAGAGAGAGTAGAGTCCCTAGCAGTGGAAACCTGAAGGACTTGCCGACCAATTTTCGAATCAACAGTTTGCTAGATGTGTTGGCCATCAAAGATTGCAACACTACAGGTGTCAAATGTGGAAGCTGTGACAAGAAAGGCGCTCACAGTTTGTACTGCTTCCAGTGTTGTGCATTCTGGTGTGACGACTGCATTACCGCGCACAACATAATCCGAGCTAACAAAGAACACCGTGTGTTGGCGATTAAAGACTTCCAAGATCAAGACATCGAGGACGTGTTACAGCGACCAGCATTTTGTGGAAATCCAGGACACGAAAAGAAAGAACTGGAATTCTTTTGTAGGAACTGTGAAGAACCAATTTGCAACTCTTGTGCTGCAACCATTCACGACGGCCACGTCAAAATACTCTTGGAAGAAGTGGCAAATGAAAGAAAAGCCGAAGCGAAGACTGTGATTGAATCTCAAAAGGAGAAGGCCCAACAGATTAGAAATAAAATCTTTCAGGTTGACCAAAACTGTGCAAAAGTTCAAGAAGAAATCGCCAATGTGAAAAGAAGCGCGCAGCAGTTTGCTGATAACATGATGGCCGTTATCGAGGCAAAGAAGCAGGAGATCTTCAATTCAGCTGAAAATCCAGGAAAGCAATCACTCGAGCAACTGGGAATACAAAAGAGTGAGTTTGAAAAACAAGCTCAAAAAACTGAGACAGCAGTTGAAAAAGCTGAAGCACTTCTGAAGCGAAGCACAAGCGCTGAGATAGCACAGTTAGACAAGTCATTGAAAACAATCTTTCCGGAAGAAGTCAAACATGAAGGAGAACACGTCGACTGTGACCTTGAAGGACTTCGACGATTTATTTTCGAGAAAAACGAAAAATTGCTAGAGAAAGCAACCGCTGAAGGAATCGGATCTTTAAAAACCTTCTTGAGCAAGACTGAAGCGCAGCAATCAAATGCCGAAGGAAATGGAATCAGTGAAGTTATCGTTGGACTTGCAGCACAGTTTGTTTTGACGACTAAAAACGATGAAGGAGAACAATGCTATGAAGCGCATGACTGTGTAACAGTGAAAATGAGAAATCGTCAAGGACAGGACTGCGCGACAGAAGTCCGAGTCGAAGATAACCAAGACGGCAGCTACAAGATTAGCTACTTCGCCAAAGAAACTGGAAGATGCCATTTATCAGTAAAAGTAAACGAGGAACACGTCCATGGCAGCCCATTTGCGGTTCAACTCAAAGCCAGAAAGTTCAGACCCGTTGTATCGTTTGGACAATTAGGCTCGGGCGCTGGAATGCTAATTTTCCCTTGGGGAGTTGCAGTGAATAAACGTGATGAAATTGCAGTGACTGATGCTGGTAACAACAGAATTCAAGTATTCAGTAGTGATGGAACTTACTTGAGATCGTTTGGTACAAAAGGTGATAAACAGGGAGAATTGAACTATCCTCTCGGGATAGCTTTTGATCTAACGAACGGGAATATTTTAGTGGCGGACCGTGAAAACCACCGTGTTCAATTGTTCAGTGAGCAGGGTGAGTACCTGAACCAGTTTGGTGGGAAAGGAAATCTTGATCACCAGCTTTTGTTTCCCGTTGGTTTATCAGTAGACAGTCACCGTAATGTTACTGTCGCTGATTCAGGAAACAAAGTAATTAAGATATTTTCTCACAATGGCCACTTTCTACGTAAAATTGGCGAAGAGGGCTCTTTTAACCAACTCTGGCATTGTGTCCAATATGGCAATTATCTTATAGTATCAGATAGTGGTGAAAATTGCATAAAAGTATTTAATAAGGATGGAAATATTTTGTACAAATTTGGAAAAAAGGGGTCAGGGGACGGGGAGTTCGATAATCCTTTTGGCTTGTCAGTTAACAAAGCAGGACACCTGATGGTCTGTGATAGAGGGAATCACAGAGTTCAGGTGTTCGAACTGAGTGGAAAGTTTGTGGCAAAGTTTGGAAAAAAAGGCAGCGGGATAGGAGAGTTTAAGAATGGACTATTTTCTACAGCAGTTCTTAGTGATGGTAGGATAGTTGCATCTGACTGGGGGAACCATCGCATTCAGATCTTCGAGTAGATCGACATGATGTCCAGTCAGCTCTCAGAATATGCGAGGTAATTTTTAAATTAGAAATTTCTGACCATTCCTTAGTCGAGAGTAGTGTGATATGGGTTAAATCGCTCTAGCACGACAGATAGTCTTGGATTATCTCTTAATTTTACGTTTGAACTATTGACTCTTTTATGTATGATTGCAGTTTTTGGTTTTTACCAAGTGTACCTGCATGTTATAGCAAGTCACGGCTCAGGTCGATTCTCTGGCTCAACAATTTTAGAGATTTTAAATTTTTTATCGAAATGAATTTGCATATTAAGAGGTTTGTGATTCTTTGATGTGTAAGCTTTTAAAGCTGCTTTGGTATAAAAAGAAATCCCTATTTCGGGGAGGTAAGGTGTTTGCTGAATCGAACAATCGAAGAATAGGACAATGAACGTTGGTCTGATTTCAAGAATGGAAAAATTGGAGAATGGAAGAAATTGAGAAACCAAAAACTTCTCCCCTTCATAGATACTAAGATAATTTATAATTACCTGTAAAAAGTTGGACTAATTTTGTGCTTATTATTTTTGCATGTAAGAAACAGCAGATCCAGCCAAATAATTTTTAATTTAAATCTAACTCATGTAGTTTAAACTACTTAAAAGAAATGTAACCCAAGCATTTAAGTCTCAAGTGATTGTCACCATCTAAAGGTCTCGATGGAATCGGAGATGATGTAATCTCAGTTTATCAGTTAAATTTTCGGCCATTTCTCAGCAAACATTTCAAATTTCTCCCTATTAATGAGCTATCATTAAATTTTGCAGACCTCGAAACTCAGCTATCTCTAAAGAAACACGTCATTTTCCCTAACTGAGAGTTAAAATGTCTGACATTTTGACCAATTCCCAGTTATATGAGTTACTGGCCCCTCCAGACCCTCAGTTTCAATCACTTAATTATGTCATAAGTACTTTCATATTTGTGTTAAGTTCCTAAGCAAGCTTTATATCGTTGAAATTTTGTAAATAAATAGTGTTACATTAGCAATGTTGCCGCAACAACATAGTTATCAATAAATTATATCATACAAGCTTGTAGAGACTGAACTGAGTGTGAATATTTCTTGTAATATTTTTCCCAAACTTTTCGACTTGATATTGTGTGCTCGCTGAGAATATAGGCCATTTTTGCGTTGCCTTTTGCCTCTGTTCTGGCATGTGATCAATTTGAAACAAAGAGTATGCGACCGAACGAAGCGTTGTGCCATCGATCTTTCGTCACGAGTATAATTTCGAAAGGGTCTTGGTTTTCCAGGGGTCTTCGTTTTCTAGGGATCTTCGTTTTCCAGGGGTCTTCGTTTTCTAGGGTGTCTTCATTTTCTAGGGGGTCTTCGGTTTGGAAGGATCTTTCGCTTTCCGTCTTCGCTTTCCGTCTTCGCTTTCCGGGCACCCGATGCGCCCAACAATGTCGCGATATGTTGCATTGAAATGTTGCGATCGTTTGGCCGGGGCTTTACATGTAAGCTACTCACTCGACATAGTTTGGGTGTATTCAGCATCGCATTTGTTGTTGTAGTAGTTTCTGTTCCAGCGCACCTTTCATGATTACGCCTCCGCTAAACTTTTTATTTTGAGGCGGCAAGATACAAAACAGAACCAATCAAGCGTCAAGGATCGGGTATGTTTGAGATTGCATGCCTCAGTTACGACGTGTTGTGATTTTCATCTCCGTGTCTTGTCACTACAATGGGTTTTTGGATGATTTATTTACAATGGGTTTAAAATACTCACAAACCTTCACAACGCGAACCTTCGCATTTCGCTTCTATTCTCGTCAAAACCCTCGGTGTTGCGTGTTTATCGCTCTTTGCCGGCGATAAAACTGAATAAAACTGAATAAAATGAGTAGCAATGCAACACCATTGCAGATATTTTTTCAAGTTGATTTCCTTATAAATTTATAAGGTCAATGAATGCTGATCACAATTATCAGAAATCTTGGTTCATCACAAAGTTGCTTTTAGCAGTCACGTCAAATGAAAACACTTCTAAGGACGCTCTCTGATTGGTCAGTATCACAAATTCAGTGACTGTCTTCTTTCAACCTTTCAATCACTTCGCGAAGCAAAATATGATTTGAATAAGAACAAGCTGAACTGATCACAATTTTTAGAAACCCTACATGTCAAACACGTCTATAAACAATGGTCGCTGATTGGTTAATATTATCAGACACTGATCACAAGACTTCATTGTTGGACGCTTTTCCAACTTAACTTCAAACCCTTCCCGTTTTCCGCTTTCAAACATGGATATAAAAACCTTGCTAAACAATCTTCATAAAGAACTATCCTGTTCTGTGTGCCTGATCACATTCACTGATCCAAAACAGCTACCATGTTTACACAGTTTTTGTCTTCACTGCTTGAACGAGATTCTACGAATGAGTGGCCGCAAAGATATCATAACCTGCCCGGACTGTAGAGGAGAGAGTAGAGTCCCTAGCAGTGGAAACCTGAAAGACTTGCCGACCAATTTTCGAATCAACAGTTGGCTAGATGTGTTGGCCATCAAAGATTGCAACACTACAGTTGTCAAATGTGGAAACTGTGACAAGAAAAGCGCTCACAGTTTGTACTGCTTTCATTGTTGTGCATTCTGGTGTGACGACTGTATCAGTGCGCACAACATAATCCGAGCTAATAAAGACCACCGAGTGTTGGCGATTAAAGACCTCCATGATCGAGACATCGAGGATGTCTTAAAGCGACCAGCATTTTGTGGAAAGCCAGGACACGGAAAGAAAGAACTGGAATTCTTTTGTAGGAACTGTGAAGAACCCATTTGCAACTCTTGTGCTACAACCATTCACGACGGCCACGTCAAAATACTTTTGGAAGAAGCGGCAAATGAAAGAATAGCAGAAGCGCAGTCTATGATTGAATGTCAAAAGCAAAAGGCCGAACAGATAAGGAATAAAATCTTTCTGAGGAATGAAATCTGTGCAAAAATTCACGAAGAAATCGCCAATGTGAAAAGAAGCGCGCAGCAGTTTGCTGATAATATGATCGTTGTCATCGAGGCAAAAAAGGAGGAGATCTTTAATGCAGCTGAAAATCAAGGAAAGCAATCACTCGAACAACTGGGAATACAAAAGAGTGACATTGAACAACAAGCTCAAATAATCGAGACAGGAGTTGAAAAAGCTGAAGCACTTCTGGAGCGAAGCACAAGCTCTGAGATAGCACAGTTAGACAAGTCATTGAAAACAATCTTTCGGGAAGAAGTCAAACATGAAGGAGAACACATCGACTGTGACCTTGAAGGTCTTCGACGATTTATTTTCGAGGAAAACGAAAAATTGCTAGAGAAAGCAACCGCTGAAGGAATCGGATCTTTCAAAACCTTCTTGAGCAAGACTGAAGCGCAGCAATCAAATGCCAAAGGAAGTGGAATCAGTGAAGTTATCGTTGGACTTGAAACACAGTTTGTTTTGACGACTAGAAATGCTGAAGGAGAACAATGCTATGAAGCGCATGACTGTTTAACAGTGAAAATGAGAAATCGTCAAGGACAGGACTGTGCGACGAAAGCGCGAGTCAAAGATAACCAAGACGGCAGCTACAGGATCAGCTACTTCGCCAAAGAAACTGGAAGATACCATTTATCAGTAAAAATAAACGAGGAACATGTCCATGGTAGCCCATTTGCGCTTCAAGTCAAACCCAGACAGTTCAGACCCGTCTCATCGTTTGGTCAACGAGGCTCGGGCGCTGGAATGCTATTTTGCCCTTGGGGAGTGGCAGTGAATGAACGTAATGAAATTGCAGTGACTGATGCTCTTAACCACAGAATTCAAGTGTTCAGTAGTGATGGGACTTACTTAAGATCGTTTGGTAGAGAGGGCGACAAACAGGGAGAATTTGACTTTCCTGCTGGGATAGCTTTTGATCCAAAGAACGGAAATATTTTGGTGTCGGACCGTAATAACTGTCGTGTCCAATTGTTCAATGAGCAGGGTGAGTACGTGAACCAGTTTGGTGGTAAAGGAAATCTTGATCATCAGCTTCAGTTTCCCGGTGGTTTATCAGTAGACAGTGACTGTAATGTTATTGTCGCTGATTGGGGTAACAAAGTAATTAAGATATTTTCTCACAATGGCCACTTTCTACGTAAAATTGGCGAAAAGGGTTCTTTTAACAGACCCTGGCATTGTGTCCAATATGACAATTATCTTATAGTATCAGATAGAGGTGAAGATTGCATAAAAGTATTTAATAAGGATGGAACTTTTTTGTACAAATTTGGAAAGGGAGGGTCAGGGGACGGGGAGTTCAATCAACCTCGTTGCTTGTCAGTTAACAAAGCGGGACACCTGATGGTCTGTGATAGAGAGAATCACAGAGTTCAGGTGTTCGAACTAAGTGGAAAGTTTATGGCAAAGTTTGGAACAAAAGGCCGTGGGATAGGAGAGTTTAATGGACTATCATCTACAGCAGTTCTTAGTGATGGTAGGATAGTTGTGTCTGACTTTGCGAAGGATCGCATTCAAATCTTCGAGTAGATCGACTTGTTGCCCAGTCAGCTACCAAAATATATCGGGTAATTTTTAAAATAGAAATTTCTGGCCAATCCTTAGTCGAGAGTAGTGTGATATGGGCTAAATCACTCTAACACAATAGATAGCCTTGGATTATCTCTACATTTTACGTTTGAACTATTGACTCTTTTCTGTATGGTTGCAGTTTTCGGTTTTTACCAAGTATACCTGCATGTTATAGCAAGTCACGGCTCAGATCGATTATGTGGCTCAACTATTCTAGAGATTTTAAATTTTTATCGAAATGTATTTACATAATAAGAGGTTTGTGATTCTTTGATATGTGATCTTTTGCTAGTAAGCTGCTTTGTTATAAAAGGTAGAACTTCGAAGGATCTGGATGGAGATGACGTAGTCTCAGTTTATCAGTTAAAGTTTTGGTGATTTCTCAGCTATCATTCCAAATTTCTGGCTATTAATAGGCCCTTTGCAGCTAAGCCATCGCTTGACCTATTTTTCATAAAATTATGGGTTATAACTTAACGAATGCCAGAAATGGAAAAAGCATGTCGAAAATATCAAAATGGCCAAGTTTGAGGCCCCCATCATTAAAGAATGAGATTTTATGACGGTCTGAATTTTTAAAAGAATCAGAAGATTTGTGTGGAAAAAGTTGTTGGAGAGCAAGGCCTTGCTCTCCAGGAACATTTTCCATACAAATCCTCTAAATTTTCCGAAAATTCAAACTGTTGTATAAACTTACTCTTTACTGCCAGGGGCCTCAAACTTGACCATTTTGGTATTTTCGATGCGCTCTTTCCATTTCTGGCATTCTTCAAGTTATAGCCCATAATATAAAAATTTTCTAGGAAAAATTTGGTCACGTGACCCCAGCTGCAGAGGGCCTATTAGCCATCAGTAAAGTTTGCAGACCTCAAAAGTCGGGTATCTTTTAAGAAACACGTTTTTTCGTAGCTAATTCTCAGGTATTTGAGTTGCTGGCCCCTCCAGATCCTCAATTTCAATCACTTCATTATTTTATGAGTACTTTTATAATTATGTTAAGTTTCCTAAGGAAACATTATATCGTCAGTTGAATTTTTTTAGTAAACAGTGCGACATTAGCAATTTTGCCTCGACAACATAGTTACCCAATAAATAAATGATATCATCCAAACTCTTCCGGCTTGATGTGGTGTGCTCGTTGAGAATGTGGGTCATCTCCGTGTTGCCTTTTGCCTCTCTTCTGGCATGAAAGAGGAAATGTTTGCAGACGTGCGTCAGCAATAGACTGCAAAACAGTCACGTTTTCGTCTGGAAATCACGACGCGTGACGGAATCACGCAATCTTGTCCCCGATTTCATTTTCCCCTGCTTATTTTATGCTCATGCTCCATCGTATGCACAAAGAGCACCAATCTTGCAAATCTTTGAACAGTACGCAAGAGTGCGGCGGAACTTGGCCTTAGCCTTTTTGTGAAGAGAATGTGACTCGAACGGACGAAAGCTTTTTTGCGCCCTCCCCCTCCCTTATATTTTATAATGAAAGGCCAAGTGTCGTTTTTCTTCTTCCCGCTCCAATCCCACTCCCATCCCCTCCCACTTCCACGCAACCCCATTCCCTCCCTTCCTCTATAACTAGAGGGTTGTCTCTCGGCTAAACAATCTCCAAACATTAATAAAGGTATTATTATTATCATTATCATCGTTATCATTATCATTATCACTACCATTATTATTATTATTATTATTATTATTATTATTAGTTTATTACATGTTTGTTTATTTCATTTGCCAACTTTAAAAATTAAGAAAAATACACGATAACTGTATTTCCTTTCGTAGATGTTATAAACAATAATATTGGAACATTTAAATAGAACTGAACTGGAATGTTATGTTTCTGTCTTGTAAGTAGTTTGTAAGTGTACTTGACTGTCACACCTTGTTGTAAATAATGTTTGTGTTTTGAAATAAAGCATATGTACAAAAAAAAAAATACACGGCTAATGACCCTTTCCATGGAAATAGTCCATATGGCTAAATCCCGACCAAGAAAGAACCAATCAGAGCGCTCGGATTCACTTAAGACTACCGTACCACATAATAATCAGGAATATATTCTTATTTCGGATTCATTTCGTTTTGGGGTGGTGTTAACACTTGATAAATAATATAGATGTCATAGAATGAAATAATGAAGCCAAAAAACGATGGGAAGGCACTTTGTGACACAGAACTTGCTAATTTTCATAATCAAATCGACTGGGAAGCATTCAAGCGTCAGAACCGGCCTGCTATAGTAGTCTAGTATAATAAGAATGCGTTCGATCCACCCTCTTTCCTTTCTTGCTGACACAAAATAGTAGTTCCAATCTTTTCCCCATTGTTTTTAATAGATAGC